AGGTCTTGGGAAGGGGGGCGCCGAAAACGGGCCTGCGGCGGACAGCTCAGCGCTGCCGCTGCCCTTCAACTGCTCCCCCAAAGGGCTGCGAAGCTGGGAGGGAGCGGCGAAAATGGGCCTGTGGCAGCCGGTGCAGCACCGCCGCCACCCTTCAACTGCTCCCCCCGAAGGCTCCACTCACCCTGTCGGCAATAGTCTGTCTTCTGAGGGGACCGGGCGCAGAGGCAGGGCTGCGGTGTCCGTGTTCCGGGGTGGGACTTAGGCAACGCAGCCAATGGATAGGGGAAGCTGGGGAAGGTTTTGAGCAACAGTTCATGTGGCCAAACATTGTTGGTGCGCATCGAACTTTGGAGGCGACTACGGCTTTATATATAAGGGACAGATGGCAAGCCATGCTGGTGATGACTCACCGACTCTCCCACTGGCCACTGGGGAAGCTGCCTTGGTGTCCTGTTGGCCCATCCCGCTGGCTTCTCTATTCTTACACCACTTTTGATGTGCAGCACCTTAGGAGTTGTAGTTCTCAGCTGGCCTTGCTGCAACCATAGCAAAGGAAATCAGAACTACAACTCCCAAGTTGGGAGTCCCAAGAAGCCGTGGGGCATTAGCAGGGAGTCAGTTAAACTGTTAAAGTGTTAAACAGGAAGCAGCTTTGGAATTGAAAGGGCTTGGGGGGAAAGGAAAGGCCTGGACATCTCTGAATTACAACTGATCTCCAGACTACAGAGATCAGTCCCCATGGTTGCTTTGAAGAGTGAGCTCTATGGTGTTATACGTCACTGGAGTCGTTTAACAAACCTAGCCCTACCCTTAGTATTGCCAATCTCCAGGCAGGACCCCGAGATCTCCAAGATCAGTTCTCCTGGAGAAAATGACTTTTGGGGACTCTATGGCAGTGGACTCTATGGCCTTATAGGCTGCTGAGGTCCCTCCCCTCTCCAAACCCTGCTCTCCCCCTCAAATCTAAGGTATTTCCCAACCCAGAGTTGGCAACCCTGTAACTGGCTACAAAACCACTTTCCAGACACTTGAAACCCAGAAAACATTTCATAGGTGCTTGAAGGCAGGAAGCTTCGATTTAAGGCAGCACCTTGCCAGAAGCAGAGCTGACCCAGCTGAGCTCTGAGGAGCTGAGAGGTACTGTATGCAGAGACTGTGTTTGGGAGTGTGTGGGTGGGTTGTGAGCAGTGTTCCCTCTAAGCCGAGTTAGTGTGAGCTAGCTCACAGTTTTTTAGCCTCCAGCTCACACATTTTTGTTTTAGCTCAGGAAGGATGACTCTAAAGCAAACTAATGTATGCAGCAGCCAAATCGCTCACTCCCAACTTTAATGCCAGTAGCTCACAAAGTAGAATTTTTGCTCACAAGACTCCACAGCTTAGAGGGAACATTGGTTGTGAGTTGTTGCAGAGTCCTGGCTGCTTGAGATAGGGTGTGAAAGGGTCATTGTTTGACTGTAATGGAGTGCCTGGGTGAATTTGAATAGCTGCTGGCCACATCCTCTGCTGGAGGAAGCTTCTGATTAAGGCACCACCTTGCCAGAGGCACAAGCCAAAGGGCTCTTGGCCTATGGCTCTTAGCCTAGGGACTCTATTAGAAGCCCAGGAAGAGCCAGAAAGCCAGGGCCTTAGTCTCCTTGGGTTCCCAAGTAAGGTATGCAGACTTCTACAAGGAAAACTACTGAAATACAAAGGGGTTTAAAAAGGGGATTATATATAATTATTATTTTTAAAGCAATTCTTCATTATGCTGTACGCTAATTTACTGTTCACCCTCTACCCATACGTATGGACTGGTAATTTCCATTTTGTTGTATCTGAAGTGTGCATGCACACAAAAGCTTATACCTTGAATAAAACTCTGCTGGTCTTAAAGGTGCCACTGGACTCAAACTTTGTTCATGAGATAGGCAATTTAGAAAGGACCTTACAGACTATCCTCAGTGCCTGGATGGAGACCTTCTGGGACTCTCATGTTACTAGCCTTTAATCCCAAGATGGAAGAAAAGCAGGCCATAAATAAATGAATGGCCC